TCTGCATGTTAAGGTAGTACTGTATGTGTGGGGCTTCTCTATAGGTTGACATCTAATGATCTCTAACACTGTGAAATCTCTGTTATTTTTCCAGATAAAGATCATTCATGATATGAAGATCCTGTCAGTCTCTGTTGCCTGTATCACATCACTGAGTGACCCCATAATCTATGCTGCAGTGAACCCTCAGTTTCGGACAGAGTTTTACAGGCTAAAAAATAATGCTAAATCCATATTCAGTCAGAAAAGGTAATATTTCTACTGCTACCGTTGAGAGCCACTGGACAAATGGCCACATTCAATATTCACTAATATTAAATTGCCTATCCATTGTTTAAAAATGTTCTATTATTAAATACTTCACCCAGACGTGGAAGTGTGAATTTGGTCTATAAGAGGCCTACATGCTGCTGCGTTATCTTAGATTTTATGCAGGGTAAGAAGCAACCTAGACCAACACAATCAGCTCAGCAGGGGGACGCTGCTGAGCTCTCTGTCAGATAATCATTGTCTCCAGAGACCCTGCAGCCAGGACCCACCACTGGGCCAGTCATGTCCTCACATGTCCTCCAGCAGCACCTCATTATTATCTCATCCCTGTTATTAGTGATGCTGAGTAATCTGGCAAACATGAAATCCAGCTAGCAAAAAAAAACAAAGACAGGCCAAGTAATGGATGTTTCAGTAGAGCTAAGTATTTATTCTAGCTACTGCACCAAATGCACAATGTGAGATAATTTGTCCCATTTTCTTACCCATTACATACGTACCCATGACAAGATTTCATTAAAAGCAAAGTGTTGCAGAATATACATCATACCAGCCTTGCTGTTTCCTTCCATCAGTCTCATTGTTACTGACAAAGCTCCAACAAGAAGCAGAGACAAACTTTAATAAAACAGAATTCTGCAATGACAGCATGCAAGTCCTTAATTCAACCAGTTAACAGACAGAAATAGTATGCCAACAACTGTCAACTAAATCTAGAAATAAGAGGAGCCAACTAATGCTCTAACCGAGATATTTACAATATGAAACATACAAAATGGCCCTTTAACACAGTGAAATCGACCAAGTGTTGCTTTTGAAGATTAGAATTTAAGAGGAGCTCAGCGAAGTTGATGTTCAGCACTTTTTCATATGGTTTTCCAGGTCTGTGTACATATTAGGGTTAGTAAGAACATTCACTTATAATTCTACCTTATAACATAATTAATATGTACCCTGTATGTTTCTCAGTATCAGTTTTAATTAATGACTGTGGCTTTCACATAGATCCTTATCAGAATGTCAAATATGTAAGCTAACACAGATTTTGCCATTTTGACTTTCACTTGCACATTTCACAAACATGTCAGGATGTTTAGTATATTTTACTCATCAAGCGATGACATCAACCAGTTAATGAGTCACTTAATGAATATTCACAACAGTTATTCATTTCTGTGGTGTTTTCTGAATTTACAACAGTGAGGGGACTATTAGAAACCAGTTAATTGAGGGGTTTCAAAACAATCTATTTAACAGGGTGGTGAGCAGACTGATTGTTTCTAATGTAGACCGATTTAATATTCACAGGATGACCCTAGGGTTAATGAATATGTGTGCTTTGTCATCAGAGGCCATCAAGAATGACCTTTAAACAACTGCCTTTCCTCCTTTGAATCAGAAGACAACAAATACAACCACATTACATATTCAAAAATAAAGTTTTTTTTCCTTAGTATTTTTAGGCAACAACAATAACCACGCAATCTCAATGCATCCTCGCTCTTCTGTGCTTAATGGAGCAAGATCTTGCTGGTTGCTTTTATTCCAAGGCAATTGTCTGTATTCTAATACCATGCAGAGTTTGACATCAGATGAGATCACTACTTAAAAAAACCCCGACCTCTGTTAATCTTATAATCCCTCTAGATTATGGCAGGTTGATGCTCGGTGGTCCCTCTCCGCAGCATCTTGTGCTTCTTGAGACCAGTTAGCTGAGTGGATAGGCATGACATCTACAAGGCAGACACTCGGACAATGTTGCTTTGAAAGTATGCAGAAGTGGTGGTGGAGCCGTCCCCATCTGATGAGGTCACCACCGGGGCAGACAGGCTGACCATGGAGGGGGTGATGTACGGTTTGTCACATTTCAAGGGCACAGTCTCATCGAGTTTGGCATTCAGGCTGGAGCGGCTATGAAAGGAAGCACAGAATAAAAGACCATGAGAGGTGTGACCTTGTGAGCATATTACACAAAACTGTCCTTCAAGACATTCTTAAACTCCACCTTCCTCCTAGAGAGTAAATACATAGAAGGTTCACTGGCTAGAATATCTCAGTTTTAAGTGTGGACTACAGCAGCTTTTGTCAGAATCTGTAGAGAATACTGTAAACTGTATAGGAAGACTGTGTATGAAGCCAAAGATCCAGACTACACACACAACTCTCTTTGATACTGTATGTAATCCTCCCAGTATAAAAACCTGTTTAAAAAAAATATATATA